CAGACAAAAGTGCCTGTCTCTGCTAGATCGCTGGTTCTGTCTGCCTAAATGTAAGGGCTACATTTGCTATTCTTCAAACCCTTCATACAATTGTACCCTGCTTAAAAATCTTTTACAGGCTGGATCATGAACAATCCCATGTCTAACTGTGCATCAGCTCTTTCAGAACACCGAGCGAATTCAGCTCTTTCAATTTTGCTCCCACCACACATATAGTAACTTCAATTTCATCCTTATTGATAACTAGTTCTAAGAGCAGCAGTACTACTGAATCCTTGTCTCCTTTCGCTTTATGGAGCCCGACGTTGAGACCTCATGATTATTTTCTCATGTCTAATAGGTGCTGAACTCATGTTGCAGATTGGGAGCAATAATAGGGCTCTTCAGTTTTATCCAGTCACTTATTATCTTTGACAGTTCTATTCTCCTTCCAAATGTGGCTGAAACCATGGATTGTATGGTGGATTCCAAAGATGTCTCAGGAACAGCTGGGTGAGGCACAGGACATAGAGATTGCAACACCTAGACTTTTTTGTTAATGTAGCATCAAGTTTTGGCCACTGTCACTGGGAATCCCTTCCATCATTACGAGATTGTTTCTTTATCAGATTACAGACAAAATATTAGTTTTTCATTATTCTGGCACTGAAACGGTAGACTTATTGCAAAAGCTTAAATTTATACACCCTACAATTATAATCTGGAACATCTGGAAGGGTTAATCTTAAAGAAGTTTATAATTAAGGACAAAAATTCAAGACATATCTTGCATACATGTCTGATCAAACATTAGGGTCATTATTTTATGGAACTGATAAAGGAAACGCTAAATTTTGCAAAACTTTCTAGCTGGCAAGAACAATTATTTTATTTATGTCAAGTTTATATCAAAGTCTGTCTAATACTTAACTGTTCATAAGATTTAATCTACCTTTAAAGTATAATTGCCAAGGACTCCTAAAAAACTGGTCTAGCGTAAAAAATTAGTACAATTATTAGAAATGTTTGCTTCATTCCCTCTGTAGCCTGGCCACCCACTCTAGGTTATTTATGTGCCCATCCTTGGGTTGAGGTTAGGTTAAAATGAAAGTACTTAAACACACCATCTGCAAAGAAAAGTACTGGTATGCTATCATGCTCATTCTGATAAGTAGGACAAAATAAGCCAAATTTTTTTCCTATTCCCATAGGATAGTGAGCAGATGATACTCCCAAGGATTTAGCCTACATTTGGTTGTTAAAATGATGTTTTATTCCTTGATAACTGATAAAGGTATTATTTGTGAGTTTGTAGTCATTATTTATGTATCACTGAAAGTTAATCTTTCACCTACTGCTATATTAGCCTAAAATGATAAAAGCTTGTGATAATTTCTTCATTCATTCCTTGATATTCTTTAAAAGCCAAATTATTTCTACATCTTTGTGGAAAATTCCTCTATAGCTGTGGGTGGAAGGAAGGAAGCTTGTTAAGTAATTCTGAATTCATTTTAGCAAACTTCCCTTTTGCTACATAGAAGCATATTTATGTTTTTAATTAAAAAATAAAGAGGCTGTAAAATGCTGGTCAATTTTGCAGTGTTATGTCACCTCCCATTAATGCAAATATAGAAGATATATTTCATAAAATAAATATATGGAGCACAGATTCATGTGTCTGGCTGATAGTCTCTTTTCCCAGTACCTACTGCAACATAGCTACAACCAGGCTGATGTCTCTCAGCTCAACAGTAATATAAATGTTAATAAATTCCACCAGTTAAAATGTGACGTTCAGAGAAGGATTACTAAACAGGTACTTACATAAGCATTATCGAAGAGTTGTACCTATTTTATATAACTGATCAGTCATTAAGCACAATAGGGAAAAGAACAATACACAGGGGACTTGCAAGGCATTTCGCTTTTTTGTATCTAGACTAGCAACTCGGATAGTATTCAGAAAAGACACAAAGATTATAATAATCAGATTTGCTTTTTCAGTGCTGTCACCGTTACTGGGTTAGCTGCACATCAGATCCTTCCTCAGTCCCTCCCTGTCTCACATGTGCCTCCCTGAGTGGCAGCCTATTGCTCCATCCCCTCTGAGGTTCAGTGCTGCAGGTCCCTGACTCACAGCCCTGTCCCCAGTTGCAGTGGGCTACTTGGCTAACTGTGTCTCCTGAGCAAACCCTGCTGAATTTAGAGCTTGAATGGAACTTTTTTTTTGGTTCAAATTCCAGTAGGGTATGCAATGACTCAGAAAACAGCTTTTTCAACGCAAAAGTTCAGCACTAGGACCATATGACGATAAAAATTATCCCAAAACCAGAAGCAAATGAGTAAAGGTTATTTGATCTAAAACTTAAGTAGGTCTAACTCATGTCAGACGTTATGCCTAGAGGATGGGAAGTCACTCGGATGTAATACTAATCTCTCTATTCCTCTTCTTTCCCTTCCCTGTCAAGCTCAAAAATTTTCAGATGTGCAAAACTGCTCAGAGCAACTGAGCTCCTAGTTATTTCTCAACAAGATACTCCAGTGAGAGACATATGAAAACCACTGGAAAACACTATTTCTTCTACATTCTTTCCATCTTAGCACTTCTTTAAGTCTGAAAAGTTTACTACATGATGTATTTACCATTCCCACAAAATCGATCTGAGTCAGCTTGAAAATCTAAAAAAACAGAATTTAAAAAACTCTGCATAATAAAAGCAGATGTGGGCTTTTATTCAGAAGGTTAAAAAGTACCCTAATCTTAGCATGATTACAAGTCAGGGGTGATAAAAATTCCTCCAAACCAAAACATTGCCCATGTATTTACATTTTCAGTTATCCACTCAGTAAATAAAACAAATGCCCTTTGTGCTGTCTTTCCACAGAGAACATGAGACGGCCCTCCGCTCTTGGGGAGACTTTCAAAGAGATCAGCTCCATTTATATTTTGGTTTCGCTTGCTGCTTTTGGAAACAGGAAAGACATGAATGTGAGGAACTGTCAATGACAAAGTGTAAGAGAAATACAAATATGAAAACACTAATATGTTGGAGCAGAGGACAGAAATCAGGGTAGCAGCTTTTCATAAGTCAAACTACCTTGTGTACTTACTGAGCAGAAGTATAGTACATGAAAGTGTTCAGTAGTTCTCTCCACTTGTTCTTAATGGCAGATGACTTAAATAAAGCTCTTCCTTTCAATTAAGCAAGGCTAAACGCTTTGAACAAACATTTTGTGTAAAATGCTTAGCCAAAAGCACACATTAAACCTCATATAACTCACCCAAGGAACTTATCAAGATAGCAACTCAAGTAAGGCATTTTGGACTTAAAGAAATAATTGCACCGAACTAGGGAGTGTTAGTTTTGAACAAACGGCCATCATTCCAAATAGAAATTATCAAGGAATATTAATGAGTTAATACTTTGCAACTGCAGATTTCTGTTTAATCATGTGCAATGCAGGGATGCTAACCCACAAAATACAGAGTTCTGAGTCTGGAAGCATCATCTCATTCTGCAAGATTCCTCACAGTGAGGAACAAAGCCTTCTGCAAAGGCTACAAAAATGAACAGAGGCTGGTGAAGAAGGGAGCAAGACACGCATCTCTGAGTTGTTCTTCAGGGTCCTAAACCACATAATGCCATAATGATTGTTTCAGGCTCTCTCTAGATGCAGGAATGGAACTCTGAAGTATCATTTTCTCAATAACCATGAAGCCCCCTTCACCTCACCACCCCATGAAAAGCACAAAAAACCCCCAACTGATCATGCTTTATTTAGTCATGGACCACCTCGCTTTTAAACTGCTCAAAGAATGTTCATAAGGGAAGGCAGTAATCCCATTATTCATATCTGCACATAGTGGCATGGTACACTCTGTATCATTTTAGCTAAAAGTGACTAGCATATGAAGCCTGTGAATTGCTGCCCAAAAGGCAGATTCTTCCATAATTGATCATTAATGTGTTTCTTGTACCTTCTTCTGAAACAGCCGGTATTGGCTGCTGTCAGGGACATAATAATCTATTAGACAAACTTATACCGATCCACTGTAGCACTGCGATTCCTAAATGTTGGTTTTGCTTAACTGAAAACAGAATATTAAGTATTTATTTAAGGTCATATGAAAGTAGTGTTTAATTATATCCTACAGAGTTCACAGATGAACGTATTTGCTGTTGTTGCTGTTTTTCCTTTGTGGAGGTTCCCGGTGCTGACTGCAAGATATCCAGTCATTTTTCATCTCCTGCCCTTAGCTGTAACTCTTGTGCTATTTCAAACAAAAACCACAAAGCACTGACCCCCCCAGAAACAGAATGTCATTTGAGATGACAAATTCTGTCATCGCATTGTTGTAAAGACACAATTTAAAAGAGTTAAAATAGATATGCAAATCGCGATGTCTAGCATTCAGAAACGTGCCTGCAGGAACACCAGGTAGGTGCAATCAAGGAAGAAAAATGCTGCTGTTCTAGGGATAGCACCTTGAATTTAAAGACAGGGCTCCAGCTGAGGGTTGCAGAATGCAAATTCCCTTGTTAAACTGCTCCTTTATATATATTTAAAAGCAGAGACCATAACTCAGAAAAGCACCATACATAATTCTTAAGTCCATTTTTCCTGGGGAAGAGGGAAGGCTGCTCCCCCTGTGCCTTCCCTGAGAGGGGGCAGTCAGTGAGCAATGCCTGCTGCAGATCCCCACTGACAAACCCGGGCTGGCAGAGCTGGGGTGTGTGACCCCAGCTACGCTGGTATTGACATGGTTATCCCTCGGTGACCCCAACAGCTACGCTGGTATTGACATGGTTATCCCTCCTTTCCACCAGTATAACCAGTTTCTTTTCAAGGATGTGACTTCACTAATTGCACAAGCTACAGGCAGGCAAATCTCACCGCAGCCGCACAACACACCAGCATCTTTGGCCTGATAAAGGGCTGTAAGAGGCCTTTTCTCAACCAGTTTACTACGTAAGGGCACTTTGCAGAACTGGAAACACAGAAATAAAAGCACAGAAATATAAATGCACTGTTATTTAATGCCAGTTGAATTCCAAGGATAAAGTAAAAGAAAATATACAGCAGGCTGCTTTTCTTCGGTGAAAATCTTTCAGTTGCCTGACAGAGTTTTCCTACAGAACAATAAAACACATATCTGCTGAAAGATGAATGGCCAAATTTGGATGATTTACCCTATGCCAAGAGCCGCAAACTCCTTTTCTAACTGCCTGTTCGTCAAGTCAGTCCTGCTGTAGAGAAGAGGCATCGATGCCAGCCCTGGCCATCCACCCCAGTGCACCCAGTCCACGGGCACGCACTGGTGGCACGACAGCCCCTGCCCACTGCCCCAGGTGCCTGCTCACGGGGCAGGCTCATGTCTACCCACGGCACGGGAAAGGGAGCAAGGCACTCTTGGGGGAAGACTGTTGAGAAACAAAATTAGCAGCGTGGTCCAGCCTTACTCCCAGTTTTCACCTGAAGTCCCTTTAGTGAAAGGGAGCGATGGAGCAGCTCTGGGCGGCAGATGGGCAGTCCTGGTGTGCCACACGGCTGCAGAGTTTAATCGCCGTCATTGTAGGACTTGTGGAGTGTGGATCTTATTGGTTCTTTCTGGCTCTGAACCTCCGGAAGGACCTGTGATACACAAATAATATAGACTTTATTTAGAAAATAGCTCCCACTTCAGTAATAACAGTGACTTGGGTGAAACCAGCCATAAATGCGTGTCTGCAGTCACTATACTCTGCAAGTGGCTTCAAAGGAAGCATTAAAGAAATTATCACAGTAAAAGTTCTTTTCTTAGTGTCAACAATTTCAATAAATTCCATTTACTTGAGTGCTTTTGTCAAAGGCAATTAGTGTAATCTATTTCATTTTTCTGTTAACTGTGTGTTTACAAGACTATTTTTTGTATAGTAAAATACAATTTGGTTGGAATAAAATGTTATAATTTGAGAATTTTCTGCATAGTCAGTCTTGCAAGTCGTGATGGAAGTCTTGTCAGGTTTTAGCATATTTTAATACTTCAGAAAGGTTTGGTTTGCAACTTTTTGTGACAAATATTTTTATCACACATTTAACATCTTGAAGAGACAAAAAATAAAGGATGGAAAGAGCTTGTGACACAATTTCCAAGGAAGATATGTACTCATGAAGGTAAAGAAAATTGAAAAAGAATAGGTTTATAAATTGAATTAGAATAATAATTCCAGCAGTAGAGTTAATGACACACATAATGTATTAGTGTGCATAAGCGTATATATATATACACACACATAAATACATACTTGATATTATCTTTCACTTATTCTCACAAAGGCATAGAAACTTGTACAGAAGTTGGACGGTTGGATAGTGCCACCAAAAGAGCTTGTTGAAACTGAAATATCTAGGCTTGGAGAAAGCCTGGATGTTCTGAGACTGGAAAATAAGGAGAAAAAGGCAATATTGTGTAAAAACATTTTTCAAAAAAGGTTTGTCATAAAAGATAAGAATATTTGCCTCTGTTTTACTATTTTGATTTCTATATTATAAATTATATCAAACACATAATGCACTGACCTTTTAAAACCAAAGATTTTAATAACTTCCCGTGAGACCAGATTAGAGATATATATAAAAATACCTCTTGTTGAATCAGCACTGTCTGTCAGAAAAGCTGTTCTGCACGAATTTCTTAATTGTCTGTAGCCCCACATGTCACCCACACCTTAGCAGGTGAAAAAGTGGAATGGCAGCATTCTCCCCTCCTGTGACAGCTTTGTGCCGTGCAGGTGGACAGCAAGTGGGCAATCATACATAGTGGCATGATTTTCCTTTGCTCTACGTGTAACAGATAGTGAGGAGTCCAAATTGCTTCCTGAATATAATGCCCCAATATCTGCTTAATCCCTAATATAGCCAATCAAAGTACTAAAATCTCTTTGATTTGCAGTTTTCCTTGTCAAAGTCATAATGACAGGTAAGCTGTCAGACCACCACTTACTTTTTAATTTTATACAGTAGCAGAAGGTGTAATTCCCAGGAATACTAGACAGCTGAAGGCCTATGCAATGACAGAAGTAAACACTGGGACAGAGAAGCATGTCTTCAGAAAGGATCTAGTGTACAGGAAAAACTTGTAATATCATTAGAGCCTTGAGGGAGAAGTAAGAGTGGAAGAAAACTGACAATAAGGAAGAGCATTAGGAAGGAGGGCAACATGTAGTCTATCTTCTCCTTCCCTTCGAGTTACATCAACAAGTGCACGAGAAATTCAATATAAAGTTTAAAAAGATTGGGGATAGGTGGGATATCATAGGTCTTCACTACAGGTGCACAACTCTACCACAGAGCATTGACAATAATTGTTATTCTATTTTAAAAAATGCAACCAACCAAACAAAACCAAGCCAGCAAATTCCTTTCCCCAGAGCTGATAGATGTGTGGCTGATTTTACTCTAACTTCTGTGGGCTGAAAATGTCATTGTGGGACTCGAGAGCAAGGCAGACGGTGTGTAAAGCAGTGTAACCATGTGAGGTAGAAAGGACATAAATTATCTGGATTCTTCATAGCACATTATCAAGTAACAGCTGTTTGATGGTGGGGTCACTCATTCACATGCTCAGGAGCTCCAACATGCTTTCTCCCCCCCTGCCCTTTTAAGCACATCAGAACTTTTAAATTATCATAGATCTTGTTATATTTGATTACACATCCCACAAAAAAATAGGGCAGTGGCTTTTACTGGAATACGGTACCTCTGGGAAAGTCATTCACAGGCTTAAATACAAGTTCCTTCAGTTTCACAACCATGAAAGCCATTGCAAATCGGATCCCTGTCTTCTGCTGTTGGCTCCTCCAAAGTACAGAAGCTCACAGTTGCTGTAGCACTGCATCTTTATGGAAGAGGGAGGTATAAATGGCCTCACTATGGCACTCCGGCTGAAAATATCATAGGAAATGCAGAAACGGCCCTAACAAACTCAAAGCATGCGATTACTATTTCTGTCAGTGAATTTTGAATGAGGTGCATGGTCTTGGCCCAGACATGCAACATCTAGAATTTCTGTCTCTTTCTGGAGAATCAAGATCTAATTTAGCACAGGCAAACACATAACACAGACTTTTGTTTTTGTGCTCTCACACTGTATTCACTCAGTTGTAAGAATCTGACAATAGCAATGTATAGAAGCTGTAAAGCATCTGGCTTCTCTGCAGTCTATCAACAACCTACAACTGTCATAAGAATAGCTGAATACTAGGAACAGGTCAGATGTACAAAGTTCCCATTTCAGTAGCCTTCACCAGCTTGAGGAGCCAAAAGCGGGTATCAGCCTTTGCCCAAACACAAAGGCAAGCTTGTATCAGCAGAAGGCTCCCTTCAAAGTACTTGGAGATTTTAGTCTCAAAGTTTCTTTTACCTTATCAGATTACCTTAAGTACCAGTTAACAACGCAAGCCTAGACACATAGATGCCTTGAGTATTTTAAATTTTTTTTGTAGCTTAAACTTTAGGATTTATCCTTACAGGAAGGTTTTCAGTGCCAGTATCATTAACTATACTGATAGAGTTAACAGTTAGCTCCTCTGGTCTAACTCTCCCGTGTGGACGCACTTACCTGGAACATACTATTTTAAATCTTTTCAGATAGCTTGAAAATCACTTCCCAAGTGGCAAATTGAAGCGATTGGGGGCAACCCTGTGCCCATAGAATAAGCTCATTTTGAACTCTTGTCCTACCTATATGACTTTCTCCCCAGGGACAAAAATGCTTTAAAGTCCATTCCATAATACTTACTTGAGTATAATTACTCTTAAATGTTAAGAGTGTCCACAAGAGGATTTAGGCCAGAATAGCAATTTCAGTCATATGCAAGTGCAGAGATATACACTTTCTTGTATATGCTTTACACTTTTCACACCTAATGAAGGCAATAAGGAGTTGTGGACTGCAGTAGCAAGGAGGAGGTGCTGGGCAAATGTAACTTAAGGAGCACACACCTTGACAAACAATATATGATTAAATGAATTAGGCTAGCTAAAATAAGTCATGTCTCCACAAAGCCAGTTCTTGCACACGTCAACAGGAGACTGAACGAAGTAATGTAGTCTCTTCCTTTGGAGTAGGAATGTCAAGCCTTCAACAAATCCCTCATAGAGACTAATAAGAAAATTAGGTAGTCATTGGGCAAGCGGCAAAGAACTGCTATGGATTAGACAATGGCAAACTAACAAAACAAATACTCAATTTTCACCTTGGCAAAGCCTCTGTGCTAAGTCGGTATTGAAAATATTCATAAATAAATCAGGAATTAAAGAACAGCGAGATGTAATCGCTCTTGTAATGCAAATAGTAATTAACAACAATATTTGCATTTGACACAAAGCTCTGAGGATAATAGAGGCTGGAAGTGCCTGTAAAGAATCCCACCAGTAGACAAATGGGAAGCACAGTGGCAGAAAAATTCTAGCACTGGCAAAAGTATGGCATTATAAACTCGAAATTGTACCAGACACTCGGAATTAATCAAGAGCCCAGTATCACACTGGATTAGCTCAGTCTCCTGTAAAAGGTCCACCAACAACTGGGTCAGAACAGGACTGCAGAGGTTAAGGCAAGACACAGAGCTAATACTAGCTTTTCTTGCAATTAGGAAAGTAGTGTTGGAAGATGTTAAAAATGACCCGTATAAGAAGGTAGGTAAGTAGAGCACTACTGCTTGTGCAACATGGAAAACTTCTGGCAAAAATACAAAGCGTCCCAAGATAAGTAGCAAACCAAGAAAGAGGTCTAGGTAACCCTGACAATGGTGAGGAACATGGGGACAGACTGCCTAGAGCTGAAAAGTAAGTTAAAACAGGTAACAAAGAACATTTACTCTCCCTGTTTCCATGCATTGTGGATGAACTTGTGGAAATCACTGTCCCAAAATCATCATCAGGCCTGAAGGGATTAACTGCATCTAATGTTATTTATAGTTGTCTCAAGAAGGGGAGCACTCCGCGCTACCATCCACTGAGTCCCTGTGGGGGCTTGGAGGCCACCCCGTCCCTGCTACATGGGCTTCCCACAGAAGGAGACAGAGACCACAAACCTGGAGGGAGAAAAGGTGACTTCCCCTGCTGTGGTGAGGGCACATGGGCCCCCTCTCCATGTCACAGAGAGGTACAGGTGCCGCTGCTTCAGGCTTACCGACGGGAGTTAAAAAGAAATTTTCTTTTTGAATAAATTATTCCATCAGGTGACTTTGATACCTTCTCCTGTACTAACTAGTGCCAACCAGTACACTGACTCAGAGGGAAGATCTATGCCATTAATGCCGTACTCCTCTGATGAGGAGGATGACATGGAAATGTCGCAAGTCCTCAGGGACTGGCAAATTGCTGCCAGAAATCGTTCTCATTCCATTCTCATTGGTAGCAGCGACACCAGACACTTGCCATTTAGACTGAGAGACATGCAAAGGAAACAGTCAAAAGTCTCACAGGCTGGAAAAGGCCAAAGTGCAATTTCACCTAATTAAAAACTGAGACAAATTAATAGCCTACAGTTCCTTCAGTGACCCTTTGATTTTGAGACATCTGAAGAGGGTTATAATTTTCAGAAGAGGAGTGCTCAGCTTCTCTGAAATATGTAGCCCCACAGAAGTCAGCCTGCACCCCTGAAGGTGGCAAACCTCCTCCATCCCTCCGCTGCCCACCACATCCCTACTTATATATTAGAATCTGAATCAACACCCTGGAAAGAGAAAAATGTCAAAGTGCTGACACCATCAACAAATATCTTGAGCTTACAGTGAATGAAATGGTCAAACCACAAGTACCCCAGTACTGTGGGATTTAATCAGCATTTGACCTCCCTGCTGTACGTACGTCTGCATATGCAATGGAAGACAAAAAAATATACAGATATCCAGTTATTATCAAAATAACAAAAGAAAGCCCCAAACAAAGCTTATAAATATTCTGAAAGCATCTCACATCTATCAGAGAGCAAAGTATCCCCCTCCCTCCCCACTGCACATCCTAGTGCCTCCATCTTTTCCCTGGCATGGGTTTCCCAGTACTGCCATGGCCAATGCTCTACGTGTCCCACCGCTGTGTTGGGCAGAGCCTGCCCACCACCACAGGTAGCTCCAGCTGGAAGTGAGACGGGCAGGTTGCCACCAGCCAGGACAGCCAAGAGGCAGGAATTACAAATATTTCCTTGTTGGATCATGCTGTTCTCCTCTCCAGGCCTTATTAGCAGGAGAGGCGCAGGGTTAGCTCTGAGGTGGGAGACTCAGCATGGGATGAGTTGGATTTTAAGGAGCACACATCGAAAGGATTCAAAAGCGTGAGAGAAATACCAGCAGCAAGACGAGAAAAGCTTGGGGATCTGGAACGGGGCAGGAGGGTGAAGCTATAAGGGGGAGGAGGGAGGAAGAGAGTATCAGAGGGACTAAGAGAGGATAAAACAAACTTCTGTCATAGTCCAAATATGATGGTCAGAATAATAGTGCTCTGAGGTGAGACTGAGGTTTTCTACACAGCGTCAAAATGAAGCGTTAGATAAACCTTGAAGAAAAAAT